CTTAAAACACCTTTAGTTGCTAGACTTGTTTTCACAAAAATGGAATGGCATGTCAGAGACTAGATCAAGTCTAGATTTGGCGTAGCAGTTTTTTCTCAGTGCTCACTCAATAACAGATCTCATAATCCAGTCATAATGCTAAAGGATAGTCAGTAATTACAGAGCTGGTTACCTAGACTTTATTTGTTTTAACTGACTTATCAGTGACTCAGTGAGACCTGTGACTGAAACTGTGACTCTTAACTTAAGGCAATTTAATTTTTGTTATAATCTGTGCCAGTGGCACTTCTATAGAAGAATCACCTTTTTAAATATATAGATTTTTGTGAATATATGCTAGGAATCCAACCAATCCATCTAAAGTCCTAAGACTCATCAACACACTCACATGAACTTGTCACAAACCTGGCCACGATATCAACACTATGGCGTGTTCCGGACGATGGACCAACGCCATTAGACTGCACTCTTCTGAACTATCTCCGCTGCCCTCCAAGACTACAAAGTCTCCTACAGGAAACTGGGAGAACAGCGCCACAGGAGTGAGAGTGTGTAAACAAACTTGTATGATGTAACCGGACTCACACAGCGCAAACAATACACTGGAAAAAAAGCTAGTTAATCCACTGTAAGTTGTGATCAGTACTTGCATATAATACTTTGCCAAATTTTCATACCAGATATGTTTTTATACGAGTTGATACTTTTTGACTTTCAGTTTAAGGAAAAAAAAATAACTTATCTATTTTTGGTGACGGTAAAAATGTTTATATTTCAGGATCTAGAATCTGATTCCATTCTCAATGAGAAAACAATCTTCACGAGACATGTCCATTGTGTTCGCCTATCCCCCATTTGTTCTATTCCTTAAGAAACTCTTTCGTGTTCTGTTTGTTTTTCCTTTTGCAATTTCAAGCTTTGACTGGGTTTGTGTACTAAAAATGTATAAGATTGAGGTACTTCCTCATTCAGATTTCAGATTTCACAACGTGAAAACACGTTTTTTAATATAATCTTGATAGAAAACAATTAACACAAACCTAATAAGAAGCAAAATGGCCACTTCAGTCTGGAATTATTTGAATTTTGGCAAGATCCCAGAGTGGGAGAGACGCTAATATCCCTGTTGTCAGTGTGACCAACAGCAAAGTATATACTGTATGTTGATGCTTTATCTCTTGTAGGTCCACTTGGCCGCTGCGCAACTTGGTGAAAATCAGAGAGTGTTTATTAGCAAAGCACAAAGCTAGTTTTGGCAGCAAAATCCAGCCTGACTGTTTTTCATAAGCATTTAGCTAACTTGTCAGGTTTGTGTTCATTGTGTAAAATGTCCACAATAATCTTTCAAGTGACACAGACTACTAACCGAACATTTTTCTTTTAAGTCTGACATCACAAGCCTTTTTTTAATAACTTTAAATTCATCTTTAGCAGCTGTGAGGAATTTTTAGCTGTGTACACAAGAAATATATATTTGACAATGTATTTATATATAGATTTTTTAGTTATGGCCACACAATTAAATAGTAGCCTAGACAAAAAATATATTACAATACTACAACTACTGTATAATCAATATTAATAATAATGAATATAAAAATAAATCTATAATAATAATATGAATATTTTTTCAAGTTCAAGTTTAGTCTAAGTAATCTAGTTCATGGTATTTTTTCTGTGATAATGACTTCAATTAGAATATTGTGTTATATTAAATGTCTACATTTGGTAAGACTGAATAAATGACTATTCATTGACTTTTAATTCATAAATTCATAAAAAAATAATGTAGTTTAGCATTTACTAATCCGAACTGCGGTGTGATATATGATAATTAATTTTTTATCGGGGGTGAAAATAAAATATCTTGTGTACATACAGACAGTAATCTAAATGGAATCTATTGGAAAAATGTTTTTATTTAGTAATTTAATTACCTGTCATTAAAAACGCCTCCAAATTTGACAACTTTATAGTCATCAAACAATTCACAAATTGCTGAATCATAGTTTTCTGTAGTGAAGAAACACATTTGTTGTAAAGATCCTAATATCATGGCCTTATCTTTTGATAAATTTGTTCCCATCAGGACCTGAAAATTTGAGTTTTTCATGACATTCTATCCTTAACCTAAGCTAATAAACAGTTGATAAACAAGTGTATAATAAGAGTATACAGTATATGGTTTTATTAACTAATAAAATTTTCCAATACTGAAAAAGTACTCTTCTCCTATAAAATATATACTATTAATTCTTTTCTTCGGCAGTATATACCTTTTATTTAAGGAGGACTGAAGCACTGTGTCTGTTTCTTATCATATAGAAAAGTAATTAGCGGTTGCCACATTTTGAATCTAGCCTCCAGGATTCAAAACAACAAAAAACCTAATTTTCCTATATCAAATGCATGTTTTTTGGGTTTAACACTAAAGGCCACATTTAATTTAGAGTTTAACCCAAATAACATGCATTTTAGATGGGAAAATTAGGTATTTTGTTATTTACACAAAATCTAAAAGAGACTAGAATCTAAAAAAAGATAATCTAAAAAAGAAAATATCTTTTTGTAAGTGTAAATTACAAAGTTGTTAAAAATTAAAAAACCTAAATAATAGTATTATGTTTATGTCCATTGACAAAAGTTCTAGCCTATGTTGTTGTGTAGGTAATATTGACATATTAAATCACAGTAGGTAGTTTTTTAAATCACTTTCTATAAATTGTCATAGAAATCTTTGGAACCTAAGACGTACCTTTTTGTGATCAGTTCCAGCTGGTACTATAAGTTAAAAACCTATTTTTTGAATAATAAATCAATAATTTTAAAATCTCACCTTTGACCTCAAATTTTGGACTTGATACACTTCAGAAAATAACACATCTTTTGTGACATCCTCCATAGAACCATTTCCATTAGAAAATGCTTCATGCAGTTTTGAAAAATTTGTTTCTGTTGATCTGGAAAACGAAACACATTAGGCAATGGGAACTGTTTTACATTTAAACACTTGCGTAGATAATAAATATAATAAACATAAAAACAAATAAATTTAAAAAAATAAAACGTGAAGAGCCACAATAAAACTACGAAAAGGGAAAAGCCTTATGTAACAAAAGAAAAAGTAATTAAATTGTATCCTCTTACCTTCTGTGTTATCTTACACACACCTTATTACTATTGGCCAATTTTAAAAGCGTTTTGACAAACTAAACTAGGCCTACCATAATATTTTACTGGTTACACGATAAAACCAACAATATGAATAAAAATTAACATCATAAGAGCTGCTAACTCCCAATTACTATTTGACAAAGTACAAGTAGCAAGCTTGCTAAGAACATGAAAATAGTTATTTGTGCAACTAGTGAGAAAAGTGAGCAATTGACTCACTCGAGAGAAATCCTTACTCACGAGCCGTAGGCGAGTGAGGAATGGTTTCTCGAGTGAGGCAATTGTACTTTGAACTCGAGTTGCACATTATACTTTTCCTACAGTTACCATAAAACAAATAAATTGGTGAAGAAACATAACCTATTTTTACACAGAAGTGAACTTTTAATATAACATTTAATGTGAAGTGACAAATACAACAGTACAACAGCTGACCAGCTGATTTACAGCCAGTGCTGCCAACGTATTTCGCGCGCATACGGTGTTGCCTGCATGTTACGCGCTCACTATTTCGTGCCTTCACGTTGAAAATCTGGAGTGAGACAAAGTAATTAGAGTGAGACAATGTTAACATTGTCTCACTGATGAGAGAATTGGCCACTTTGCTTTCTCAAATCAGTGAGAGAACATGTACATTGTTAAGTAACTGTAGGAAAAATTAATTAATCTTATTAAGATTAGGTTAAAACTACGTAACTAGGATAGTTGTGGCTAGGTCTTGCGATGATGGAAAAATAACCTCTCTCAAGAAATTTAGATTTGTTTGTTTAAAAACCATTAGGTCTACTCACAAATAAACCCCGGTATGGATCATAAACATAAACTAATGACGTTGTTGGCCCAAATCCTATCCTGCAGACTAAGCGAATTTCAACTTGTCTGATTACATTTTTACTTAAATATTTTCATAAATAATACATATTTATTCAATATTTAAATAACATTAGATTTAACGAGTGCTTAGGTTTACTGCTACGGGGAAGGTAAAAAGTGTTTTTTGACCATACGTCAATAGTAAAGGATGAAATAAATAAATTTGAAAAATGTTATCAATATATATCCATAAACAAGTAAACTAGGCTACAACAATTTTCATTTTCTCCATAAGAATAACATTGGAATTTTGAATTACACTATTTTTGAATTTTCTCCGTGACCGTTATGCATATAACAGCGCTTCAATATACTAAATGATTTCTTTTTTTAAACTCTACAAAACGGTTTACAAAGAAATTGCAAAATTTTTTGTTTTTAGGGTCAAAAATGGGAAAACCCCATTTTACCCCATAAACCCCCGTTCTCATGGTCCGATTATGCTGGATCGAAACGTAGGTTTACACGTTTGTACCAAATTTCATAAAAATCGGATAATTTTTGCTCGAGTTATCGCGCTAGCGGACATATATATATATATATATATATATATATATAAAATTTGAACGGATGGTGTTTTTGGCCTCTAGGGATCTCCAAATGAAAAATTAAATCGCTCAGGTCTTGCCATGAGTACTACGGTAATAGCTTATTCCCTATATGGGAAATTCGCTAAAACATAAAAAACCGATAAAAAACCGAATACTGTATATATTTTTATTACAGACTTGATAAAAGGACAACATTCCATTTCAAGTCGATGATAAATAATAAGCGTTTTATTGTATCCAATCTTGTGTCTTAAGAATGGGAAGATCATACATTTTCTTGAAGCCTATTCAAATAAGCTTAGTATTTGAAATGGAAAATGTTGACTTCTCCTAATTTCTCTGCATGATTAAATAAATGGAAGCAAGCAACTTAAAACAATAAAGCTTGCACAAACATAATGCCTACCTGTAAATCTTTCCATTTGATGTTGTTACTATGATGAACCCTGATTCGTTACTTCCACAACATGAAATAGTTACAAAGTTTGGCCCAAATTCATTGTTCGTGATTTGCCTGGAACAACAAACATTATTTTTATTTACCACTTTAATTGAAAAATAATTTGAAACCTGTGAGATGGTATTAATGTTCCTTAAAAACATGTGTTGTTTATTATTGAATAATAAAGTAATAAACTAATTTCTTTTATCCAACTTTTATTGTTTTTATTTGATTATGGGCTGCAGAAAATATTAAAAGAATGGATTTAAGAGTGAATGTTGAAAAACTAAGCAATTCTCAATCATGGAGAAGGTGGAAACGCCCGATTGAATTAGTTTTGAGACATCATGGAATTAGTGATCTGATTACTGGTGAAAAGACAAAACCTGTAGAAACAGAGGAGCAGAAGCTTAAGGATTTCAAGAAAGATGACACCTTAGCTCAGGTACCTACTTATTGTAAATGCTCTAGACGATTCACATGTAGAATTAACAGCTACTTGTGAAAGTGCACATGCAATGTGACAGAAGCTATTGAGTATATGTCTCATTAACAGTAGCGTAGCCAGGATTACGTTAAGGGGGGGGTTATTTAACGTGACCATGCCGGGGGGCCTGGGGGGTATGGAATACCCCCCAGCCGAGAGGGAGGTCCGAAAAATAATGAATAATAATGAAAAATAATAGCTGTAAACTAGCGTTTTTATGCAATCTAGACATATTAATTTTTAAAACATAAATTGATTTTTAATTGAGTTTTTATTATATTTATCCTATTTGATTAAGGTGTTTAAACATGAATTTAAATTTGTTACCGTTTTACAGAAGAATATTAAAAATGTTACTAAAATAATTTCTTAATAGTTTAGCATGCTTTTCATTTTGCTCACTTTGGCCTAACTTCCGTTTCTTCCCAGGCCGCTTACAATTATCATCACTCATTCTTCAGGACTATCTTAGTTAATTCAACTTCAGATATGTAAATGTAATTAATCACAAGGATAATGATGAGATAACATAATATTTCAGCACCCAATAATCGATACGTAATTTAAAGCCCCGTTCACACTGCGCGAGTTTACAAGCTACACGCCGGATTTTTTACACGCAGCTAGTAAAATAGCTCAGTGTGAACGACGAACTCGCTCAAAAGCTGCTTGTAAAAAAGCTCTGGAAAAAGTTGACGCTGCCACTACTTTACACGCCAACTCGCCAGCTTTTGAGCGAATAGGCGTGTAAAGTAGCCGAGTGTGAACACAGTTGCTTGTGCTTGTGCGCATGTTATTCAAAGATGTCGGAGGATTTGGTTCAAGCTAGCTACTGAGCGTGTGGAAAAAGCATCGTGTGAACGACTACAAGCACACTCGCCGACTCGCCGGCGTCTTTCTACACGTCTGCGAGTTGGCGAGTGGACAAGCTCCGTGTGAACGAAATACAAGCACACTCGCCGGCTTCTAACACGCTGGCGAGTAGCTTGTAAACTCGCCCCGTGTGAACGAGGCTTTTTATCTAAAAGTTCACAACCTCAAATCACGGTCAATTGTTTTACAACCCACTCAGTAACGCAGTAGGGCATCAGTGATCTGTCTAGTGTGAGTGTCTATGTGACTACTGAACTGACAGTGACACTAACCAACCAGACTACTCTCCCGCGCAAAATGACGGCTAGCGAATCCACAGTGGGAACGGGGAGCGAGTAGAACTGGTGGAAGTGGAACCACTAGTACTGTTGCAGCTCTGACTACATGGCTACATGTGATAGAATCAATGCCCACCCCCGTACAGTCGTAGTGTACACCTTTTGCCGTGACATAAAATATGTTGTAAAACACTTAATATATTTCTAAGACAAGGTAAATTGTTTGGCACTTTCTTCATTTACTGGTTAGCATAAAAGTATAGTACGAAAACATATTTACTTCAACAGTAAAATATATATATATAGGGACACCCAAGGGGGGGGTTGTAACCCCCAAAACCCCCCCCTTGGCTACGCCACTGCTCATTAAGTCAGAGACTAGATAGAACGATGGAACAGTTCTTTACATCTAGTATAACTGATGGAGAAGATTTGATCAAATATATCTCAAGATTGCAGTTAAACTTCAGAGAAGAGAATGATGAACTTAAAAAGCATAAAGCTTCAGAACTGCCAGGACTTGTGTTGATGTCAAGGATTATGAGTACAACACCTAAAGAATTCTCTGAGTTCAAGAGTGTGTGGGAAAGCATACCAGTGAAAGACAGAAGTGTTGATTTGTTAATAGAGTACTCGTCTGATTGAGTCCAGGCTACCTAGGTCTATGAATTCTGATAATGGACAAACCTTGCAGGTTAGAGAAATAGCACAAGTTCATTGTCAGAAGGCAAAAAGTATTCGGTAAAGAAGAAAATCAAGTGTTTTAATTGTAAGGGACCGCACTATGCGAGTCAGTGTCCAAAGAAATCAGAAAAAGACAAGAATAAGACTGAGCCTAGAAAAGTTAACAGTGGTCCATTCTTGTGTTTTGTAGCAAAGGAGCACAGGAAAGACAACTTTATTGCAGACTCTGGAGCATTGCAGCATATGTGTTTCCTGAGAGACTTCTTTCACACATATCAGAGGTTTGCTTCACCAATTAACGTCACTGTGGGTAACGGTGAAGATATTGAGGCAGTTGGGGAGGGAAGTATTCGAGTAAGTGAGATATTAGTAAGAACCGATATATCACAACTTTAGAGAATGTATGGAATGTATGCATGGAACTCCCATGTTGACCATGTTGTCAGCAAAATCACATCTGGAATTTATGCAATTTATAGAATGTCTAAATTTTGTTCAGCAGATATTTTGAAAAAGCTTTATTTTGCTTTCATTGAATCCGCAATATCATTTGGCATAAGTGTTAATGGTGGAACATCAAAGAAAAATTTGGACAGAATTTTAATTTTGCAGAAAAGAGCAATAAGACTAATGTTAAATTTAAACTGGGATGTTTCCGTACGTGATCATTTCTTAGCCATGGGTATAATGACTGTGTACGGCATTTATGTTTTCCATACCGTTCTTTTAACTAAAAATCTTTTGTCTGAAAGTATGTTACCTAAACTAGGGGATAATCACGAATATGGCACCCGGCATAGAAACAAAATTGCTGTTGGTGCCCATAGATTGGAATTTTATAACAAAAAACCGTCATGTGCTGGAAGAAAATTTTTGGAAGGGCTTCCAGAGGGGTTGAGGAAAATTGATGATTGTAAAAAATTTAAATCCCAGCTTAAAATATACTTAACACAAAAAGTACTGTATAATTTTGACGAACTGTACAGCTGATATTATGTTGTAAGTTTAAGTAGTTTAAGAATTTTGACGCCATTCAATGTACATAGGGCCTACTTGTATGATTTATGAATAAAGTTATTTTCAATTCAATTCAATTCAATGGTACGTTCCCAAGCTAGGAAGGATGTCAGTCTGAGTTCAGCACAACAGTTAAGAAAGGATTTATTTTCAAAGTAACTACAGAAAATTTGGCAATATTATATTAACATAATGTAGAAACAATAGGCCTATCAATATCAATCATTGAGATGGGGACGCCACCTAGGTGCATATTTTAACCCAAATATGATTGAAGGATGATTGTAGAATGGTGTGAGATGATCTGTGTGGCTTTGTTACTGACTAAGATCAGCTTTTCATTAGCCTAAAGCCCAATGATCAGGATCAGCTGGGTCAAGTTTCAAACCATCAAAAAGCTACTGACTCAGGATCGAACCGGCGACCATTTGATTGCCAGGCAAGCACTATAACCACTCAGCTCCAGTCCAGTCAGTCACTGTTATTAAGTCACTAGTCACTCTTATTAAGCTAGTCACTCTCACCTACCCAAGAAGAATAACTTTTAAGGACACTGACCTTTCAAAGACTTGATCCTTTTTTTGAATGTGGTAGAAAATCAATTTGTTCTTTACTCCTAGAATGAGGAATCTGCCGCAAGGAGACACAGCAAAGGCTTCAATCTGATTGTCACACAGAACAGAACAGAGAACAGAGCTGCAATCTGGTTTGAACACGTGAACTGCTGTATCCACAACCACGCACAAACCAATGTGAGGAGCAAACTGGGCCTTCACTCTCGGCAAATGCTTGGGCTGTACAAACATCAGAAATCAATTAAGTTTCTATGTATCGTATAAAAATATTGTTTCAATGCATGAAGGCTTTTATACTGTTACTTAAGGTACTGTAGTCCAGATTTTTGTCATTAATTTCTTATTTTGTTTTTGTAACCGTGATGTTGTAATCTTTAAAACATATTTTTTACAAAATAATTTTGGAAATCAAAAAATGAAGAACAGGATGGAATACATAGAAGAAAAATCTATAGGCTAACATTAATAACTGAATACCGGTAGTCAAAAAGTCCAAAGTTTGTTACATTTACAAAATTAGGAAACGTGTTAGTATAACTAAGGATAACTTCTTGATCAGCATTGTACAGGTTATTAAATTTACGGAAAGTAAATAAAAGAAACGTCTTCCCTAACACTGAAAAAAGTTAACACTTTTTAAGTGTTATAAGACGTTTCTTTTATTTACTTCCCGTATAACTAGGACGAAAAATATCAACAGTTATGTTCTCATTTGGTTTTATCCTTTTGTCGTAGATAAAGGTAACGATTTTTTCATCACTTTGTACAGTATGAACATACTTTACTTGGGCGACCATGTACAAGCTTATTTCCACACAGTTGAATATTACGAAAACTGTCAATTTCCAATTTAAATATCCTAAACATTATTGCCTACCACTACATGGAAATGATCACAATTGCCACACCTGTTGTAAACAGTAGCTATGCAGAATAGCTCATAATCGCACCACAAAGGGAATGTAACTTATCATTCCCGCTAGCTAATCAGCTGATTTTACTGTTGGCGTTTCAACACCAACCACAGTTGCTGATCAGGTATGTTAAGAACCGGTAAGAAAAGAACATAATCTAAATGACATTTTCTATAAAGCTAAAAAGTTAATCTGTGTGGTATGATAAGGGTGTCATGATGGTAGGAAAAATCTTGTTTGTAATACGAGCACAAACAGTTATTGCGGCTTGAGAAATTTCGAGACGTACTTTGCGCTCTTGATACACAAATAGCTATTTCCTGTTCCAAACAACTTGAATTTTCTCTTTCGTTCAACGGGAGCACTAATGTCTGTATACTTTTATGATGAAGAATATTGTTCAAAGGTGACAAATAGTAACTTCTCTCAATTCTTACTGTGCTACAAAATATTGCATTGTGGCTAATGCTGCAAAATTGGACTTAAAGTGGACTTTATTGCAAACACTTCTACTTTGAGATAGGTGACTGTAAAACGTTAAATCAAAAATTTAAAGAATGACCAGGTATGTTGAGGTATGTTGACCATAACTAGGCCTACAACTATTAGGCCTAAGTTATAGGCTACTTTATGATTACCGGTATAAAAAAACTTACCTAATAATAGTGTTAGGTATAGGTTGTGTTTTTTAATCTTTCATTCTCAATAATTAATAGTAGGCCTAAACTTACCTGAGATAAATGTGTTTTTTCATAAGTTAGGCCTACATTACCTAGACCTTATCTACTTCTGTGTTCATTAGTAATGTGACGAGTTGAGTTGGCGAGTCGCGTTGACTCGAGTCAAGACACGAGTCGAGTCAACTTGAGTCATCTCATTCACAACTCGAGTTGGTACGAACTCGTACAGAGAAGCCGTAGCTACACAAACTCGAAACGTAACGAGTCCGACTCGCAAAACTATTTACGCTATTGGCTCACAGCCTCAAAGTGAGTCAAGAAACCGAACTCATACGGAAAAAGCCGAACCTTTACGAACTCGGGACGTAACGAGTTGACTCACGAAACGTAAACGCTATTGGCTGAATGCGAATTCAGCCGACTCGCCAAACTATAACCCTATTGGCTGCGCTGCGAGTCTCGACCCGAACTCGACCGATGGAAGCGGAAGTTTCACGATGATACCGAGTTGAGTCTGACTCGAGTTGACATAGTCGTGAGTCGAGTTTGACTCGAGTCAAGAAAATACTCGACTCGTTACATCACTAGTGTTCATGTAGTGAAGAGCCCACAGTACAATCAGTCCGGGTAGATGCATTGCTGCAAAGTCCAGCAATAAATTAACTAAAATGACTCCAACATTTACCTCGTCTCCAGCATGAATGGCTGCAAGTGTGTTTGTTTCATAAACAGCAACATCATTAATGGCGCAAGCCCTTGTACCGAAATTTGCAGTTTCTTCTTCAAGGTTGAAGCCAACATTAACTTCCTTCCACATTTTTATTTGATCTAGAAAAAAACAGAAAATAAATTCATATGGTAGGCCTACCTAGCCTATTTTAAGAATGATTAGGGGTTTCAGACTGTTCAAATAGGCTAGCCTATTTAAGTTTGATGTTCAAAAACGTTATTTTTTAGTGAAATAACCAATTATATTATCTTAAGTGGGATGGTATGGTATATTACAAGGTTCAAAATTGTAGTTTTGTAAAACTAAACCTACCTACGTACGTCTTATGTGTAGGCCTAAGTTGACGTTGACATACAGTAACTTTTTTTTACAATAAAAATTTAGAGTAGGCTACTTTAAAAATAAAAACATTTAATTCGTGTTAAACCTAGAACCTTCGCTATAAGAATACATGCTACAGCTACATTTATTTTACTTTTCAAGCGGATTAGCGGACGCTTAAATTACTAAATTAGTTCTTAGTTGGACTTTATTTTTAAAAAGTTTACACTCACTTCACTCACTCACTTTGAGTTTTTGAATTGAAATTGAATTAACCTAAAATAAAATTAAAATTATCAATCTGTATTTAGGCGCCATAATCAAGCATAGAGTATAGTCGTGAGATAGTATGATTAGGAAAATAATATATAGCAAGTGCATAATAAAAGTCATATACTTAATCAGTAAATTTGCATTGACTGTCACTGTAGCTAAAAATGTGTCACCGGAATTTTATCTTCCTGGAATTTTACCCCCTGGGGCCTATTTCATAATAAACTACAAACTAATATTATTAGTAAATCAGCTGATCGTCCATGAAAATCTTATGGAAATTACAAGTTACAAGTTGTAACTTGTAACTTGTAGTTTATTATGAAACTGGCCCCTGGGCAAAGCTGACGGCACTATGACGTATTAACCTGAGCGCTCAAAAGTTTAATCGCGGGCGGAATTTTACCCCCGCGGATTTTGAAGTCAGAGCGTGATTAATTAGATTAGCAATAAAAACCGGAATTTTGCCCCCCTGTCCACATAACTAGCGTTTAGATAGCTGATGGTGTACGGGCCGGATTTTTAGATCTTAGATACATTTAGCGAAAGAATGTTTTGATTCAACCATCGTTTTACAATCATAAGATCATGCATAGCCTTATCTTGTACCTCGGGCCAAGTCTTTCCCTGAAGGAAAATTAAGGTATCGTCAGCAAATAAAAACATTTGACCAAAAATGGATAATTTTGAAATGTTACAATAAGAATAAAATTGGCCCGAGAGTTGAACTTTGGACCACCCCGTAGTCTACAGGCATTCTACTGCTATTCACACCACATATAGAAACATACTATGTTCTGCTAGAAAGATAACTTTTAAACCAGTTAAGAGTGGTGTCTCCTATTCCCAATAATTCCATTTTAATTAATAATTTTGCACGATCAACAGAATCAAAAGCTTTTTTAAGGTCAAGAAATATTAACATTGGGTGATTTTTATCAGAGATAGCACGATTAAGTTCTTTATTTATATCAAACAAAGCATCTGAAATATTTTTATCTCTACGAAACCCGTACTGACGCTCGCTGAGGATGTCATTAGTTTGAAGATAGGAAACCATTTGATCCTTTACTATTTTTTCGATTATTTTTGTGAAGACACTAAGCAGAGATAATTAAAGGGCGATAATTGTTTTTATTGATGAAATCGTTAGATTTGTGTAAAGGAAATACTTTTGATAGCTTATAGCAATCAGAGAAAACTCCAGAAATGATGCTGTGGTTGACAATATGAAGTAGGGGGTCACCACATATAGTACATTGAAATTGCTTTTCAAGACTTCGGCCGAGACACCATCACACCCTGCGCTGACCCTCCCCGTAAACCGTGAACGTATCGTCGCAAGTCAAGTCCGTTGATCGGTTGTAAGTCAAAAGTGCAGTTCAGTCGAAAGTCATTGTCGTTCAAAACTGGGTCATCAGAAGTGTCAATTGAATCTGCAAGCTCCTTTCCAACGTTTGCAAAAAAAATATTAAAATCCCCAGCCACCTCTTCACATAAAGTTGTAGTAAAAAATTATATTATTTATTAATATATTAATATAGATATATATTAATAATATTAATTAATGTTAATATATATATTAATAATTAATATATTAATAAATTATTAATTTTTAATTAAAAATTATAAAAATTATAATAGTTGTAGAGAAAATAATAAATTAGAGAAAATGACGAATCTGCAATTTGAAGGGCACTTTGAGGTCCCGAGAATAGAATGTCTTGTGAGAGGCAAATGAGATTAGTTTTAGAGTCTAATTAAATCACACAAAACTTTAAGGTTGTGCCTTGAGTCCAATTATCCAAATGTGTAGAGAGGATGGCAGCGGTGTCGTTTATGGCGGAGCCATGGTGGATGGTGGAGTCCTTAGACCGAGTGCTTCTGTTTTGTAGAATTTTGGAGAACGCAACGCAACCAAGTTCATAAACACACAGAGCTCACTAATACGCGGAAGTCACGGTGAAAACGTACGGAAAGTCTAGAAGTAATACACGGACGCACCCACACTGTCTTGAGGTTTGAAGAGTCTGAAAGCACTAGATCACAATTTAAGTAATTTAATCACAAACAAAAGGGAAATTAAATGTATATACTGTTAAAAATGTGTGTTTAATCTATGGTTTAATTTTATTATTAATATCGAAGGGGGAGCTCTATAAGCATCCTCGGAGTGGTAGCTTTATTTTTGTCCAATTTGAGTCCAATCGGTTCAGTAGTTTTTTAGTTTATCTCATACAAACACACAGACACTACCTCTAATTTATAATTATACTAGCTGGCCCGACAAACGTTGTCCTGTCCTAATGTGGTTTTATGTCAAATGCTCGTTCATTTTTAAGATGAGCTCGGTCGCATGGCTTTGCCTATTATAAGCTATGCCACGTTTTCGAAATTAGAAGCTAGATTAATCGTGATTTTATAAGCTGCAGCAAATTTGAGCTACAGCTACGCCATTATAAGCTATGCCACATTTTCACAATTATAAGCTATGGAACAAATTCGCAATTATAAGCTATGCCATTTTATTACCTGAACAAAATTAAAAAATCCAACATTGTTCTTAATTTATGGGAAAGGTCTTTTAAGATTAAGAATGCGTTTATTGGCTTTTCCCTTATAGTCAATGCTAGTTAGTAGTAAATTTAAATAAATTTGGTCGTTTGTAAATTTTAATCATATCATACAATTTTATAGTTTCTTATGAAAATCAATGCTAATAGTATTCACATCTGATCTCTTTCCTGATTTAGTTGATATAACTTTTTATTCCTTTTGGAATTCCCGGAAATTATGAACGTAAGAGTGACGTACAAAACATCTAGGTTATTTGTCGATTGTCGATCGCCATCTTGTTTTCTGTTGGTTTGGTGGGTAGTTAGTTTAGTTAGTGTTTGGTTGTGCGATTCATGTTGTATAGGGCATTTAATCGCGAGCTACAACAAAATTTAATTTAGTTTTAATGAAATTGCTGTCAATGGGTTCACAGAAGTTAGAGAATAACAATGTTTCAAGTAAAGCAACGCCGAAACCATACGGAAAGATCGTTCTTTCTCTTACAAATTGTCTTTTACCTGATGAAAAGTTAAGTCCTACTCCATCTAAGGTCGATGGTTTGGATAGTGACACAGAGACTGATCTGAGGATTTTAGGCTGTGAATTAATTCAGACCGCAGGAATATTGTTGAAGTTGCCTCAGGTGAGTCACATCATAACTTAGCCCGTGCTCTCTAACTTGTTTGTATGGCTAGGCCTAAGGTTAACAATTAAGCCTACGTTTTCATTTATTCGCTACCAATGGTCCAAACAAACCTATTCACAGCCTTCACCTTTTGTTTTTATAGGTCTAAATATTACGTAGGCCTAGGCCTACCCTGTTTGTTAGGTATTATACTTAAAAAGGCAGAGGATAGGAGCCTACGCGTCCGGTTGGATTAGGCGTCCGGCAGTCAACTTACCTAACCTTAACCCTAGGAGTGGCGAATCGACAAGAAATGTCGATTTTAAGTAAAAATGTGTTGCCGGAGTGGCGGGCGACAAAATTTGTTGATTAGCGTAACGGTTTTATTCCGTTGTATGTTTTATGTCAAATGCAGGGTTAACCACAGTTATAGTGTTGAAATTGCATAACTCTTACACTAATGGAAAGATGAGATTCTGAAGTTTCATTTAATAAGAATGAACCTTATAAACACAAGTAGGCCTAACTTAAGTTATATCGATCTTATAACGAGTTACATTTGAATGAAAAAAAAGCGCTAACTCGCAAACGCCATGTTTCGTTGCACAATCCTAAAAGATAAGTCATTTCAAAAAATCATAGCAGACGTAATTTTTATTTTTATGCTAATAAAAACAAGTGGTATACCACTGCAACAAGCATGAAGTAAACTTCCATTCTGTATAAAGTTCTGTATGGTTGTGTTGCTAGCCTAGTGGTTAGCATCTCGGACTTCGGTGCAGGAGGGACGGGTTCAATCCCCGGCACATCCACAAAACTGTAATGGGTTTGGACCGCTTCCCCTTAAAAGTGTTTGAAATTATCTCATTATAAAAATGCCACTGGTGTACTTAAATACGAGCAAAAAAAGAAAAAAAAAAGAAAGTATAATGTCATAGCCTAATACATTCCAACAGCTGATGAACAGTTTTTGTGAACAGCCAATTTTTACGTATTGCTCATGTGGCGAATCGACAAAAATTGTTGATTTCTGAATTCAATGTTGTTAGGCTGGTCATGCAAATAGAAGCTTTGGATTTTTCAAAGCTAAATGAACAGAAGACTTGTCATCGTCTAACCTAAAATGGCGGCGTCGTCGTGAGTTTTGTCCGATAACAAAGAAAAAGTGTGTGTTTTATCCGTAATTTTACAGTCGTTTTAGTTAGGGTGACCCGGGGCAATTCTGGCACGGGGCAATTATAGCAATGGCCTATATTTTTTTTAAATTTCAGCTTTACAGATCAGTGAAGCAATATTTGTTATTTCAGCATATACCTCCTATATATAGGAAAGCATTTTTGTAAAAATAAAATGTTTGCAGTAATTTTTATTAGCGATTAAAAAAGTACTTTCTTCCACAGCCCGAGGATATCGAAACATTGCACACGGCTAATTTTTTTTCCCTATGAATTTTATATTTTATTTTTTTTTATACTCAAAGATAATTGTTCAGACTTAAAACTTCATGAACAAAAATAGTAATAGCAGTTATCCCTTTAAGATATTTAAATTTAAATGGGTGCTATAATTGCCCCATTTTCATATGCTATGGGGCAATTGTGGCAAAGAACCCGGGGCAATTATGGCAGCTATATATCTTTATACAAATAATGTATAAATTAAAGAATAAATTGTACAACAACGTGTGTTATGTGTAATATGTTTCATTTCAGTTCATTTGGATGGCTTTGTAAACACCTTTTGCTTAGATTACTCTATGGCAGCCTGATTATTTTTATTGTTTATTGTTGCTAGAAGTTTTGAGGTTAAGGCCCTTGTACGCTTGTACTGTCTTACCGGTTTATTCACAACTTCCTTATAAATAGAGATAGAACAAAAATTAAAACACCATCTTAAACAGCTAAATTAGGCCTATGCCATGATTGCCCCAATGTCAGAGCAATTTAAACAATAAGGAAAATATAAGGTATTGCTATAATTGCCCCAAGGTTGGGGCAATTCTGGCATCTGACACTCAAAAAAAAAAAAACCTCAAACCCCCTTAAGGGGAGTTTGAGATTGTTGTCTAAATATATGAAAACACTAGAGGAATAACATAGAATTACTATGGTAATTGTCAAAATAAAATGAAAAATATGTTCACCGCGGTACAAGCAGTTAAAGTTAAGGTTCACGTCTGGCTGCCAGAATTGCCCCGGGTCACCCTAAGTATTTGGTATTAGGCCTAGGTGTAATATTTATGCATTATTTTGCATAAATTATAATATACATGTATGATCCAAAATAGGATAAAAAGTTAGTGAAGGTTTTTGGGCTACCTATAACAGCTGATCAGTTGTTTTGTTTACAGTTTTGCTTTTGTGAAAACAAACTATTCTATTAATTAGGCTATCTTATTTAGTTATTCTTATATAGAATGATATTAATTTATTGGCTTCAAAAAATGTATGGTTTTATGATGATATTGATTTATTATTAGAGGGCATTTGTAGATCTATCAAAGTGTAGTTTTGTAGAAATTGACGTTTTTCAATTTTTCCGTATTGCTTGTAAAATCTATAAAAATAATTCTTTTGGGTAAATTATGATACCTAATGTAGAGAAATAAATTCTTTACAATTTGCATATTTTGAATTGTGCAATACAAATTTACGTCAAAAACTTACATCACCTACATGTGACACGTGTTTGCTTTTGAAATAAAATTTGAAAAAATATATAAATTTTATTTTTTACTTTTTGAATTCTACTGACTATCACGAACAAAATGAATATACGTTTCAATAGGTTATCTCTACATACTAATTTTATACACGTTTTTGAAGAACTCCCTCACAAATTCACCAAAATGAGCGTGCCACTCCACAAAGCACAATTATTACTGTAGGGTACCGGTACTGAAAATCGGTCTCGCCACTCCTAGGGTTAACCTAAACCTAACCAACCAAACTTGCTGATACCGGTAGGCCTAATGAAAAATCTGAAATTATTGCGGACAGGGTGACCAAGAGTACGGTACCATAGTAATTTATAGGCTATATCATTAGAAACTAGATTTTTACCTGAAAGCAATGGTGCAAAAAATTTTCTGCTGTCACAAAAACCGAATTAACTTAGGCCAACTAAGATTTTTTGAATTTTATTACTGTAATGGCTCTTGTCCGCTGGTCTCTGTCACCTTTACTTTAATGTACTCTGAATTGACTGACTAATACAAACATGGATGAATGTTTGAAATTGAAAGGATTGTTTTATTTATATAATTTATTATAATTTATTCATTTATTCATGTAAATTGTCACAAATTTCTACTTACAGAGGAGTTTCCTCAATGGTAGATGACATGTCAAAAATATGATACAAAAATGTTAAAAACTAAATTAAAATGTAACTTAAACATAATGAGAAAACAAACTCTCCACATGCTTTTGGCAGAAGATTCATTGAGAATATGAGAAGGTAGTTTATTAAATAACAAACAACAGTTTATTAAATGACAAAGAGTAAAGTTCATACAAAGAGGTAGAGGTATTTGTAAATTCAACTGAGCCTGATTGAGTTATGAACTAAGCCTTAGTTACTTCAGTTCTTCTGTGAGGTTTGTAGGTTGGGTGTTATGCGGACTCGTGATTTTATTAATTGTTCAAAATTTAGGTTAAATTAGGAAGGTAAAGATTTAAAGGTTATAATGAATTGAGTACGGTAGTTGATTTATATTATCTCCAGACTGTCTGTGCACCTTCTTCCTCCTACAAAATGCATAAACAGTCTGGAGATAATATAAATCAACTAGGCCTACTCAATTCATTATAACCTAATCTTTACCTTCCTAATCTAACCTAACTTCAAAGGACTTAAAGTCAAGAGACGGAAAATTTTAAAACCACATAACAACCAACCTCACAAGTCTTTTTTAACTTAAAAAACAAATTTTAAACTGTCCGAGAAGTTTGGTTGGGTTAGGTTAGGTTATATTCCCTAGTGTCAATTTGTTGTCATTTTATTAAAACTGCCACTACCTTACACTAACTTATTATCATTATGGGACATAACTTAACGGTTAAGTTAAATGGTCAAAACCTAAGCTAAGCCACTCGGTTGATAAATTAAATGAAGCTTAAATTCTGTTTAAAATAAGTTTATTAGGCATAATGCCTTAAATTCTCACTAATGATGTAGATAGGCCTACAGTTAAGAATAAATCGCTTTCCAAGCAAAATCTCTGACAAAAAGTAAGTGTCACCGATTTGATTTGATCTGGATACCCTCTTGGATATTAGCCGAGTACTCTATCCTGTAACTTACACCACGAACACCGATAGGCTGCACTACGTATCGTTCAGGTAACGGTGTTGTGGGCCCCCACAAACCGGTGACGCCACTGCCGGACGCGTAGCCTTGCGTATTAAAAAACTAAACCAGGCCTATATTAAACTACTACGATAAACTGTACTAACCTAACCTAACCTGGGAGTCAATAAGTCATTTATTAGGCCAGATCAACATATACATGCATTAGCCAAGTCAAATTAATCTTAATTGATAAAACATATTGATTATCTTACAGTGAAAACAACTAAAGTACTCACAAGCAACCACTCAATTAAGTTAACTCAAGTTAATTCAACAAGTTCCTACAAGTAACTCAGCCTACATCCTTAACTTAACGGTTGCACTTTAGTTTAACTTATGTGTCCTACATTAACTACCAGATGATTGTAAAATGAAACTGTTCTAAACTAAATTTAACCTTAACCAAACTATGTGAGTAAATAATGTAAGCAATGTGAGTTGTAGGACGTAAACTAAAGTGCAGCCACTGCTGAGCTATGCATTATGGATTGAAACTAGGCCTATCAAATTTAAAATATCGATTAATAATTGACATATTTAACTAGGCCTGTAGCCTATCAATTATAAAATAAAACTGTCAACTGTCATAACCTAACCTAACTTAACTAAGACTAACCAAACTTGCTGGTAATGAAAAAATCGAATGAAAGTTTACCGGTACTAATCGGTTCAATAGTTAGTTTCAATCGATATTAGCATAGCCCAGTTAAGAAACTGTACCCCCTGTACCTAATCTGGTTCCAAGTAAAACTCGCAACTAACCCAACATCTGGCTCGAGGCCCTTTGAGCTGAATTTTGCCAGTGACGTGTGAAATGGCATGCAACACTTAGAGCCGAGTTTGACATCCTCACACCCAAACAGGGTGATCTGTTAGACCTAACATAACTTTCCAGTCCGTTTGTTCTTTGCAATGTAATTAACAAAAAAATCATCAGCAGATTTTTTGTTGTCTTGTAAAAGTGCAAGGACTACAGAATGAAATTTGTTATACTGTATACAAAATGCCTAGCCTACTTTAAAAGTTTGACCTAGAAGTACTTTTTGATCGTAGAATTTTTCCAAATGGTAGGCTAGCCTACCACGCAGGGTGTCTAGTAGTCGAGTGAAAGTAACTTAAAAAGAATTAAACTTCAAAATGGTCTTGAAAAGTCGGGATTTAGTCTTTATTTTGATATAAAAGTCGGAATTTTCATGATTTTGCCGTGATCACGCTAGACGACTATCACGTTTTCGTTACCGTGCAAGACGACGATCATGACGTTTCCGTGACCGCGGGAGACTATGATGATGTCTACCTACACTGCCGCGGGAGATATTCATGATTTTGCCGCGATCGCGGACGACGACAATGACGTTTCCGAGACCGCGGGAAGCGACGATGATGTCTACACGGGCGCGGGAAATGTTCATAATTTTGCCGTGATCTGATCGCGAACGACGACAATGACGTTTCTGAGACCGCGGGAGACGACGATGATGTCTACACGGGCGCGGGAAATGTTTATGATTTTGCCGCGATCGCGGACGACAAGGATGACGTTCCCGTGACCGTGGCAATCAATGATGATGTCTACACGGCCGCGGAAGAATTTTATGATCTAGCCGTCTTCGCAGACGACGACGATGACGTTTCTGTGACCACGGGAGACGACGTTGATGTCTACATGGCCGCGGAAGATTTTTATGATTTTGCCGCGATCGCGGATGACGACGTTGACGTTTCTATGACCGCGGGAGTCCAGAAGTCAATGATGATGTCTACACGGCCGCGGAAGATTTTTATTATTTCCCGCGATTGTAGATGATGAATGTGACGTTTCCGAGACTGCAGGAGACAACGATGATGTTTCCGTGACCGAGGGAGGCAGTCAATAATGATGGCTATGGCTAAGCGCACAAGGTAGATTTTTTTGTCGGCCGATTTAAAATCGGCTAAGTATAAATCATCCTTAAATCATGTCCAAGCGTACACGTGGCGATTTTTTAGTTGATAAATCCATTTATTCGATTGTGTTAAGCTACCCTAAAATAGACTTAATTAACCTGTGTTTGTGCTCTTCTAATTAGATCAAAGAAAAAAAAAGAAGACAACGTAAACATTGGGTTCATCTGAAAATAAGTCAGAGACTTTAAAATGGAATTTTTTATAAACTGTTTTTGCACAAAATGACTTTTGGGCAAAAAGGTGTTTTCCGCGTTAACAGTTGGCGGGCTTTTGCGAGTTTATTAGTTGTTGGACAGTAATGAAAAATACACCTTTGAATTTGTCATGAAATTCCGCAAAATTTGAGTAGGTACCCATAACATGACTTTTTTTTTTGCAAAAAAGTTTTTTTTTTAGTTTTTACACTTTTTTTGGAAAAACTGTGCTTGTCCGCAAAAAATGACTATCATTTTAGGAATCACTGCTAAAAAACTAACAGTTTTAACTCTAGATGGGTATCGCACTTAAATTTGACCTGGGGCGAGTTATTTTTAGCGTCACACTGTATGATGATACCTTACTGTATGCAATTCCTATGTACGTCAAATTAACGTATTGATACCCTTAGCGTAATGTTGTATACCTTTCTAGAGTAAACAAATTATTTTTTAGAGCGTTGATTTGAGGTTGACATAATTACCATACTGTATTCAAAATGAAAGTTATTTCCTCCTTGTTGCAGTAGGCCTTCTAGTACCACTTGTCTTTGCTAGACACAAAAATTACGTCTATAATTTTTTTAATTAGGCCTACTCATCTTTCACGGTTTAACAACAAAACATGGCGGTTGAGATTTAGCGCTTTATTTTCATTCAAATTTAACTCATGATTAATTGGATATAGCCTACTTATGTAATAGGTTGAAACGTTCATTCTTATTTAATTAAATTAAACTTCAGAAATCTCATCATTCCGTTGATATAAGAATTATGTCATTTAATCTAATATAACTAAGTGCATGAAATGCAACGGCAACAAATCTTAATTTATTGACAAATTTTGTCAGTTGCCACTTCAGCAACACAATTTGAGATAGACATTTTTTGTCCATTCGCCACTTGTAAGGCTAACAATAAATTGAACAATCCAGTTATTTTGCAGTAAATTAGCCATGAATTAACAATGGTTGTTCCCATTAATGGCTCAAGAGCAACTTTTTAATACCACTTCTGCGTTTTCCTCAGAGGCGTATAATACGCAGACATCTGATCACTGTAATCTACACCTTTTTTGGTATTATTAACTTAAACCACTCTGAGGCTTGAAAACAGCTTTGTTCTTTCGGTTACGTTTGCCAGTATCTTAGAACTAACTTAGAATTTTCTTCAGGTTTAGTAGTCAGAATAGTTACGCTTCTTTCATATTGCCACTTAATGATTTTCGTGCTACTAATGACGTCTCCAGGCTACCGGTACTTTGTATAATAAGGCTCTAATTGTTTTTGTCTTGTTTCTAAGGCTGTTGGGCACAAGTAACTGGTTACTCGTGGCACACTGAATGTGTTTAAACTTTATATAACTACTTAAGGATTATATTAAACTTAGTAACATCGTTATTTTCAGTAAATTCCCATAGCCTAAACTTTTTGACTGAAAAAACCATGTATCTCTGTCCATATTTACATTCTATTTTTTTACCAAACCCAATTAATCAAATAATAGCCTCCTAACCTTAAGGAAAAAAAACACATCAAATAACATGTGAAAATGAACCCTGGGAATTTAACGGCGCTAGAGTTGGAACACGGTTGCAGTGTCCATGAATGTTAGGAGTAAATATGGGTGGGTTTTGAAGTGTTAAATGAGGTCAAGCTAGTTTTTAGAAAAAAAATTTGTGAGGTAGTCCTAGATCTATTTGGTCCTGCAACTACCAACCAAAAAATAACTTACACTTTGAAGTCATCTCTCAATTGAGTTAATAACTTATACTTTTCCCGATCCAGAATATCTTTTCTTATTCAAATAGTGATCCTTTTAACTTTTAACCTAACGTAGTATACAGGGTTAGTAAAAAGTGTGGAGACCCCCTGTTATTTTTTTAACGGCCCATACTAGAAAAACTAAACTCGGCACACCATTATGGCATGTTATTAAGTACTTTTTGGGCACAACCGCCACTTGGTGTTCATCCCCAAAATGGGAAATTTTGGGGTAAACTAAAAAATTTCAAATACAAAACCCATCGAGTGACCCCTCATTTTGAAGGTCCTGGTAAAAGAAAACCAACAACGCAAACTAGAGGTCTCTATCTCAGCTCAGTACAAAATGGCAGCCAATTGAAATTCTCATAAGTTCCCAAACCCAAAATGGGGGATTTTGGGGGAAACTCAAAAATTTTTAATGATAAGCCCCATCGAGTGACCCCTCATTTCGAAGGCCATAATAAAAGAAAACTAACAACGCAAACTATAGGTCTCTATCTTAACACAGTAAAATATGGCAGCCAATTGAATATAAAATTGCAAGTTATTTCCAATTTCTAAAGATTTCAATCAGCTTCCATTTTTTACTGGATTGAGATAGAAACCTCTAGTTTGCGTTGTAAGTTTTCTTTTACCAGGACCTTCAAAATGAGGGATCACTTGATGGGGCTTATCATTTAAAACTTTTGAGTTTCCCCCAAAATCCCCCATTTTGGGTTTGGTAAGCAAGTGGCTATTATGCTTAAAAAGTACTTCATAACATGCCAAAAAGGTGTGTAGAGTTCAGTTTTCCTAGTGTGAGCCGCTACTAAATTTACAGGGGGTCTCCAGACTTGGAAAGCTGCAAGTTTATTCAATTTCTGAGAATTTCAATTGGCTGCCATTTTTTACTGGATTGAGATAAATACCTCTAGTTTGCGTTTTTGGTTTTCTTTTACCAGGACCTTCAAAATGAGGGGTCACTCGGTAGGTCTTTGTATTTGAAATTTTTGAGTTTCCCCCAAAATCCCCCATTTTGGGGATGTACACCAAGTGACGGTTATGCTCAAAAAGTACTTCACAACATGCCATAAAGGTGTGCCGAGTTTAGTTTTTCTAGTATGGGCCATTAAAAAAAATAACAGGGGGTCTCCACACTTTTTACTAACCCTGTATTTTAACTAAATAACTTCTTGATCAGCATCGTACTTGTAATTAAATTTACGGAAAGTAATTAATGAAACTTATAACACTTGAAACATATATTTACGCTTATACTGTTACTCACAAGACGGTAAATATACAAAAAAGGTGGTAAATGGTGATCGATTTCGATTGGACACTCCACCGATCACCACTTACCACCTTTTTTGTATATTTACCGTCTTGCGAGTAACAGTATAAGCGTAAATATATGTTTTAAGTGTTATAAGACGAGACATTTCTTTATTTACTTTCCGTATATTTTAATTGTCTTGTTTTTACTAATTATTTACGACTAATAAATCACCCTCGATTGAATCATTATTCATGTCAAAATATATAAGTAGCCTATAGGCTAACTTAGCTTAATTGATAGTAGGTGTTTAACTAAGTTAGTATTTTACGTTAATGTTAAAAAATTAGCTCACCATATTTGTAGGGCCTTAACAACTTAAGTTTGAAAGTTTATCAATAAAAAACAACTTATTTTATATTTCTAGGTGGCAATGGCTACAGGACAAGTTTTGTTTCAACGGTTTTATTATTCAAAGTCTTTTGTTCGCCACCCCATGGAAACGACAGCAATGGGGTGTGTTTGCCTTGCCTCTAAAATTGAGGAAGCACCACGAAGGATAAGAGATGTTATAAATGTATTTCATCACATACGTCAAGTAAAGAATCAAAAGTAAGTACTATATTTTTTTGTTATATACTGTCTCAGCATCTATTAAAAATAATAAAGTGCAATAAGTTGCGATAGCCTAGTTTACATGTTCGGAGAGAGTTGGTCATTTGGTAATGTGTTGTTTAAATTGTTGTATTTTTTACTTAATGATTATTTTCAGGATTTCTTGGCAAAATTCTTCTAATAAACACTTTATTTTTATTTCCTGGGATTTGTGTTGTTTTGTTTTATTTATACAGGTTGAACAACTTAACTGTGCCACCATTGGTATCTCAGAAACTATTAGATTTAGAGAGAACATTAAATGAGGAACTTTAACTAGTTTTTAACGATATTAAAAAATATGAATTTCAATGTTTCAAAAATGGCCGCCATTTTCCAATATGGCTACTAACTATAAATTTCTTATAGAACGCACTGTATTTTATGATTGTTTTAGATTCTGGATGCACTTTTAAGACTTTTTTACTCTTGGAATTTTTTTTAAACCTACTCGTTTAGGAGCTACAGCGGGTTGAACTTAGAAAAATTAGCTTGCCGTGTGGTTATAATCATTATGTCATTAGCTTTTTTTAAAGTTTAACAAGCTGTAGCTCCTAAACGAGTAGGTTTAGAGAAAATATGTCAAGAGTAAAAAAGTCTTAAAATTGCATCTAGAATCTAAAACAATCATAAAATACAGGGTGTTCCATAAGAAATTCCAAAGTTAGCCGCCATGTTGGAAAATGGCGGCCATTTTTGAAACATTGGAATTCATATTTTTTTATGCCATTAAAAGTAAGTTGAAGTTCCCCATTTAATGTTCTCTCTAAATCTAATAGTTTCTGAGATACCAATTGTGACACAGTTAAGTTGTTCACCCTGTATACCTGGTATTATTTAGTCTCAGTTGGTAACACGAATCAAACTCCCAAATATATAGATAGGTTAAAACTTAATGTACAACTTAAGTTATAAAACTGAAATGTTTTGTTGTTGAAAAATGAATGAATTATGAATTATGAGTATGTATGTTCAGAAATCCAAAGAATAGGTTTATAAAGAATACATTTCTAGATAATTATTATTTATGCAAGACATTAAGAATGTAATCATTAGATAAGGTCATTAACAGTGCTCATTACTGACAGGGCTACTCTCTAGTCTTGTTTTATTTTTCTTTCTAATACCTTGTTTCCTGATGACAATGTTTTTTTAACATGGAAGACTACAGATAAGCTAATAATTCTGTTTCATGATAAAAATCTCATCTTTAAATGTTAATTTATTTTTTAGTAAATTTTATTTTAAAATGGTTATTATTTGTTTGATAGCAGGTTTGGCAATAATATTTGCAAAACATTTTAAAATTGTCCTCTTATTTGAATGATTTTTTTAATGAATGCAATTTTAAACCACCAATAATAAAGATGTTTTAACCACGGATTTTATGTTAAAAACTTTTGGATTAGTAAAATCACGGGCAAGTTTTAAATGCTAGACTTTAAAAAAAATTGATAAAAACCTAAACTTTATACACGGTTAGCTTAAAAGTTTGTTTGCGTTAATTTGAATTATTATTTGTATTAGATTAAAAGGGACTTGTTTTGAACTAATTAAATCTTTGCACATCCAAATAAACTAATTCAAGTATTAATCGCCATATATATATGCCTCAAGAGGCATTTCCTATCATCAATTAAATATTGTCATCATAGGCCTAGAAGATATCTTGTAGAAATAGATGGATTTTGCAGGTATGAAGACTTTTTGTTTTTACCACTTAAGTTACTGTACAACCTTGTTTGTAATTTTGATGCCATATGCCTTCATGATTGTACTTACGTAATTTATCCTACAAAAATATTTTTAAGTAGGCCTAGCCTTAATTGTTCAATTTATAAAAATCTTGGGCACTACGCTCAGGCTTAGCTAACAAAGAGAATATTTGTTAGTATGAAGTTATTACAGTAAAGAAATTACGAAGAAATTACTTTTTCTTTGATATTTGTGATTATTAATGCATTGTTTCAATCTTGTTCAGTAGGTACCTATATTCCTTTTGCTGATTTGTTAAAGGTTTTAGTTAGGCCTAAATGCCATTGTAAATTTGTAAAATATAAATAACTAACTTTTTGCTTTGGACCTAATTTAAAAATTTTTAGATGTAGGTACCTAGGCTATATGTATTGAAAAACTTCAAGGATATTGCCCCAAAATATAGCATGAATTCTACAAAAATAAGGGGTTTAATAGTTTCAATGGGGGTTTAAAGAGTAAAATCTGTCTATCTAAATTATAATAGACAGACAGCCAACAACACTTGTCGTATTCTACTTGGTTGTTTTTTGCTTTGTACATACATATGGCCGTGTTAACTAGTGTAGTAAGTGTAGTGTAAGTTTGGGATGTGTTACACATTGCTCAAGGGTTTCGCTTCCGTATTGCAGATGTTTCCACAGCCCCCGGTCCCAGCGCCCCTACATGGGTCGAGGGAGGGTCGGGTTGTGGAATGGACTGCCACACCTCAACCTCTACAGTCAACAAACAACGCACCATTCCTCTGGAATATCTATTATTTTTTCTTTGCCTACGAGCCATCGGCCCCATACAGTTTGTATTAAGATAGTTCCTAGGATTAGTTACTAGTTTTAAGTTTTATTTAGACATTTGTGGATTCAGCTTTCCTAAATTTCATTCAAGCGAAGCATATACCTACAATTTATTTAGAAATCAAAACCATTGTCCAAAGATTAATGATTGAACAGTTTTAATTTTTCCTATATTTTGTAGAATGGATATTTATAGCAAAATATAAGCCTCCATTTGGGGTGTTTATAGAGTGAAATGTCAAATCTTTCTGCCATATGAATCCATATCCTGAAATCATTTCAAGTTTTGTTGGCACTATAATTTTACGAAGTAAGAAATGATGTTCTTGGAAAGAAAATCAAGTAAATTATTAATTGTATTAAAGGCCTAGTGATTCTTGATACTTAATTTAATTATTTGATTGTCTGGAGTAATTTTGAAGTAACAATAATGAAAACGGTACTTGTACTTACGGTCTCAGTATCCTAGGCTTAGCCTACCCTTAAACCGTAATGGAATTTTATTTCAAATTACGCTTTTTAATTTCAAACATTCCTAACTATATGAATAGGCCTAGTTGGAACATTTAAATGTGAATATTCTTAACATTTCTTCCTTACTTAACATATTTGCCTAATTAATGCAACGGACATTTTTTATGCAGGCCTATATACACATTACCAGTTTTGATTATGTTTTTGTTTTGTATAATAGTAGGCTGCCATTTTTCATCATTGCTATATTTGAGATTATTTACTTTACATTATGTGACAACTATAACCAATTTCAATTAGCTAAACATGTTTTCAAAAACATTACTTAAAAGTTGTAGTTGTGTTATCCAAATCAAACTAAGCTACATCTTTATTAGATTAACTCAACAGTTAAACTTTATAATTTCAATTGGTTTTTCTTTGACTAAATGGCTCAATTTGTTAGAATTTAGTAACATTTGTTTAAAGAAATCACAACTTTATCTTGGACATATAACATTTTAAGTCCTATTGGTATTTGTAGTTAAGAAATTTTACAGTTTTTATGTTACAGTGGCTGCACTTGACTACGGCTTGAGACTTCATATTTTCATGTCACTACTTGAAATGTTTTTGTCTTTTATTTTTTAGCTTTAGTTTAAGGCCATATACCAACATAAGGTCGCATATCTACAGTGTTTAATTGTATTCTTATTATTTATTAGGTGGACTCAAGGTACAAAATATAGATGGTAAATTTAATTGCATGGTTCAAGTCGTGTTTTACTCATCTTTTGTGTTTGGGTATTTTTTATCCAACAACTTAGTAAAGTTTCCCGTCCTTGCGGGTCAAATTGCAATCTTTTTGCCATGGTTGCTGAATGTCAACTTTTAAGTGTTTAAAAACTTGAGTCAGGTCTATTCGAAAAGTTAAAATTGACACTCCACTTGCTGGCTCACCCAGTTATACTAATACTTTACTTTTAATACTTTTTAACTGAAATGGCGACAATACGAATTTAGGTATTTTAAGCCAAGTATGAATGGAGATTATTGTCGGATGAATGGGCACGATCTTGTAGTCTTGTTACTGACTAAGGCCAAAATGTTCCTTGGGCAGGACTGTTAATTAATAGCCCATACGGCAGCCAATGGCAACTAAGAGACCTTCACTTTATAGTGAAATCCGAACCACATTTTTGTCTTACAAATTGGTCTAATTTTCATGCTAGTACTGCAGATAGTCGTAGTACTTACTAGTGCGGAGTTAATCCACACTAAATCAAATTATCTTTATTCACTTTATACATTTTACGTACATGAATAGTGTCAACGCATACAAATTTCGTTATACAACTTAATCTAAAAGACTTAACCATACAATTTGACAATAATTTTAAAATGTATAGCTAATTCATTTTTGATTACATTAGTAATACTAGGCCGAAAAGATTAAATGATTAAAATGAAATAAACTGTAGGCTACAAAATCCTTGTGATAATTTTGAGTTGTTGAGAAAAATTTAGCTGCTGCCTATTTGAAGTTTAACAATAACATTCTATCCTACAAATTCCAAGGGACATGGATATTTTTAAATATATTCTTAAAGGTTAGGCTACAGCTATGATGTTCAACAGACCTTTTATTAACAGTGAGTGTACATACATATAGAATTTATTTTCAATTTCAAAACAAAAGTGATCTGCATTTTACCTCAGTAGAAAACTGTTGTACAGTAGATCCCCTTATATCCGACCATGGTGGGACTGAGCCATGGTCGGAACAGCCAGGTCGATATCGAGATCAGTATAAACTGCATTCTCCGTGACTTCGGTAATCGTCGCCCGCGACCATGGCAACACCGGTGAGTGTAACTTGCAGTCTCCGCGACTTTGGTAACTGTCTCCCGCAACATCAGAAACACCCGTTATCGGCGACAGTGGTGATCGTTTGCC